TAGAATCAAGTGAAGATATGATGGATCTTAAAAGTGAGGCAGCTAACAAACTAGATATGGTACTTGAGGTTAGTGAAATGCCTAGTCAAGGAAATGACAAATATAAAGTCAAATTTGATAAACTAAAGGTGTTATTGAATGAAGGTATAAATTAATTAATATAATATTCTATACTGGTTATATTTGCTAATATAACTAATTCATTTGTTGTTAAAAAGATGAAATTGAGCAGAATTTAGATGATGATAATAATCAAAATTCAGAGAAGAAAAACAGTGAAAAAAGTAATGATAAAGAAGAGGATGCTAATATGATAGAGAATGACTATGAAGAGGAAGTTGATAAAATGCATAAAGGAAAGATAAACTATGAAGCTGAAGAGAAAGTTGATGAAATGTATAGAGGAGATATTGAAAAGGCAGACCAGATAGATAAGGTAGAATTTGATAAAATAGAGGATGAAGAAACTAGCATCATAGAAAAAAGGAGAAAGAAAAAAAGTAAATGTGAAACATTAAGAAATAGTGATATATATATAATAAATAATTAAAAAAAAAATAAAAAAAATCAAGAAAAAAAATTAAATAAAAAAATTAAATAAAAAATTAAAAAAAAATTAATTAATATACAATTTTTTTTTTTTAGAATTAATGATTAAAACTGCAAAACAAATTTTATTACCATGCAGTTTTGAGTTTACAAAATTTCAACGTATAGTGAAAGAATTTAATTTGAATATTGTAAATCGCAGTTTAGCACTAAGTGCATTAGTACAAAGATCCAATTTGAAAAAGATCGAAGCATTTTCCAAAAAGAAAAAAGCAGTATTAAAGAATGAAAATAGACAAATCACTCTCGAACTAGCAAATTAGGAAATAATTAAAGAAGTAGTTAATAATCTTAAATAGCCAAAATTTATACATATAAACCAGGATAATAATAATCTGACAGAAACATTAGGTTTTTATGCTAAATATAAAAATTCTTTCAAAAATGGACTTTTAAATAGTAATAAGCTCAAAACAGCTAATTTATATTGTGAGTTTCTTTTTTTACAAAATGGATTGCCTGTAATAGCTCCATTTTTTAATCCCAATTCTGGGATCAAAAAAATAAAATACTACAGGAACATAATAGATTTTCTGAAAATAGTAATCCAACAAAGAAATTCTACCTATCCAGTCTAATTTGATATCTCATTAATTTGTAGAGCTTTCAAACTGAATCTATTTCAAGAACAAGAAGTAACTCCGTTAATAGAAGAACAGAAAATACCTCTGTTAATAGAAGAAGCTGGAAATATACAAGATGCAATCTTATTATTAAGAAGGGCATTAGGATTACCATCTAGTCTTAGTGTTAATTATTTTTTAAATTATAATACTGAAGTATCTAACCAAATATCAATATTCTCAACACTTATGA